CCCTCCAATCCAACCACCACATCCATGCTACTTCACATTCAAATATTATCCAGTATAAGTGAACTATTTATCAAGTTTACATTGTTGATTCTTATTTCTCAACAAGATAATTGGTTTCTATGTACCCCTGTTACTGCAGCCTGCTCACATATTTGTATATCTGGGTGGACGGCTGGGATTAAGAACCGATTAAGGGATGGAGTGCGAAGTTTCATCAACAGTGATAGAAATATCAGTGTAAATTGACAGCTTTGGTTGCTAAATATAATCCCTGTTGGTCAGTAGTGTGTGTACAACAGTGGTCAGAAATTGTTCCGTAGCCGTGGGGTCAGTCACGAAGTTTGACAGCTGGTCATTTACAAACACGTGATTGACAGCTGACTGGACAGTCCTGGAGCAGTTAAATGGTCAGTTTGGTTAGTTTGGACACTGCAGACTGCCCTTTTGTTGTGGTTTGTGAGAGTTTGTTGCTGAAGTTTATTGGTATAAATGGTGATTTGGGATTACAGTTATTATATTTAGCCATGTTATCTTATATCATATGGAACTGGGATAGCAGACAGTCACACCTTTAACATTAAGGCAAGTTGAGTCAAGTTGTATTCCAACTGTATTTCAAATGTTCTTACTTAACTTCAGTGGCATGGTCTTCTGACAGTACACATAAAATAAAAAAGAAGTATATTTCTCGTACGTCAGCTACTAGAAAGTGACAATGTATGGATACTATAAAAGCGGTATATAATTCGGTATATCAAATCAATTTTTTCATAAAATTTTCTTCCAAATATAAATTTGGTATAAATTCACTTCCAGATATAGTTCTAGGGTTTAAGTTGACAGGAAGCTGAGCTCAGTACTGCAGGAAGAGTCGTCTTCCTCTTCTTAGTAGATAGGCATTTTTATTTTCAAAAACCGGATATTGCCACTGAAAGATACGAAGAAAGTTTTATAATGATTGTTAAAAAGATTTGGACTTTACTTCTTTCCAAATAGGCAGCTTGGTTTAAGAATGGATAAAGAATTAAGAGGAAGAAATTTTCGTAATGATTATAACCAGGAATTGTGCTTTGCTCTCCAAATCCTTCATTTTTGATTTAGAAGAAAATTTATACTACAGCATGAGGTTATGATTTATCCAATTCCAGATGGGGTATGTAGTCTATTGTTCAATCAAATACTGTTCATTTCTTTCTTTTTTTTTGGGGGGGGGGGAGGGGGGGGGCAATTGAACACTGTGTTCTGCATAACTGCAGAAAAATTCCTCTAGATCTACAAAAACAACAGAGGGTTGTTTCATAAAATAAGCAAGTATTCCTGACAGATTAGTACCATTTTACAGGCTGAAGCCATTTTGCCAAGTTTGGTGACTCTGGTGGTTTTGAGACGGTTTTTACCCAGAGGCAGCCACGAGGTGCAGGTTAGATGTTTGTGCATCCCAAGCCAAAATAAACAGGCATCAATAAACAACATAAACAGAAGGGTACTAAGGAGCCACACACAGTCGCTTTTACTTAAGTGTGAATTTTTTCTTTAATCCATAATGGCTTCTGTCTCCGGAAGTAGTGGGCTTGGAATAAAAAAAAGCTCTAGGAAGATCAAATTCCTATTCACTTACAGCAGGATTTAAAAAATGTTACAGCCTACTCTTTCTTGGATTTTTATGGTAAAGTCGTGTTTTACTGTATGAGGTAGGGTAGTTGGCTTTCTTTTAAATGGAAAAGCAGTGTCTCTTGGAGAAATTAGGTATTTTTTGCATGTTGTTACAGCCTGTATATGTAGACTGTTCTTTGGTTGGTATTAATTGGAAAATTCTGAGGTACTCCTTATATCGGTCAATTAATGTGACTATGAGAGTCATGTACTATGTTTTGGATATGTTAAACTAATATATATATTATTTGTTTATAGAACTAATATTATTGGATAAAATGTCTGTTGTCTATTTGTAGTATTTCATTTTGTTTATCAGCATAGCAATTCAGGGCAACTGTCTTGATCTTATATTATATTATATTATATTATATTATATTATATTATTCTTCCCTACCTCCACACACACACACACACACACACACACACACACACACACACACACACACACACACACACACACACACACAGAAAGTATTTTGTATAATTTCCAGTTCCCTGTGACTTCTCTTCCAGACTGCCAAACTGTTGATCCATTGTATGGCTCCTGGTAACATGAGCTCTGTATAGGAACCAACCCAACACATGATGTCTGGCCTGCAAATTACTGAACCGGTGTCAGCAGAGCAATACAACTACTGCAGCAGCCAGCCAGTGGAACATATATTACTTGCTTAACACAGAAGCATTTGTGATTCCATGTTGTTCAGTTTCTGCTTCTTGTTCTTCAGATTTGCAGTTTCCCATCGATGTTGATTCTGCCGAGCAAGATCACGACTTTTTGGATCGAGATTCCATCCAGTCTTTGTTCAGGTATGCTTAGTTGTGGTCTGCCTATTCATAAAATGGTTAGAAGTCCTTAGAGAACAGTTCAAGAGCTTAGCGTTTGACCTGTTCTCTAAATATTTCTGACACAATAGATTGTACAGTACACTTTGCTGGTACATGGCTGATAAAAGAATACATTGAAAATCAAATTGAGCAGTATTTAAAGACTTTTTTCCAAAATATTTGGAGTTAACATAAGGCTTGTATGCTTTGCATTTTAGAACAATACTTGATTGTTCTGTGAGTTTCCTTTACAAGTTTGCATGTTTTTTTTTGTTTTTTTTTTTTGTGAGAAATAGGACTACAATTTGTAATGTCTGCAATATACATCTCATTTGGCCTTGACTGTACAGCAATGGTCAGTCATGTCAGATATCCCTTAACTGTCATGAGATTCCCATTCATTACATAAAGATACATAATGATTAAAGGTTCACATTAAACTGCAATCTGATAAGACATCAAACACCACATCATCAATGGTACCTGGCACAGTATGATGCCTTCCACAGCTGTTAGGTAATATTATCAGTATGGAGAATCCACCCTCCCTCTCATTGATGATGCTCAGTAGCTCACGTGATATAGGAAAACAATGGCCTTTTTCACAAAATGACTTTTTACAGTGAAAGTTGGGCTGATCTTTGAGAATGAAATTTGAAGTCTACTTTGACTGAAGCTACATCAGTAATTGTTCAGTGAGATGGAGTGATTTGTAACAAGAAAGACATGACTGCTGGCTAATAATAAGATCAAAAGTTGAATTATTTAATATATCTCCTTTTAATTTATCCTGAATTAATTCAATTTTCAATTCAATTCAATTTATTTCTGTACTGGTACATAGATTGTCATGACCTTGTACAATATGATATACTAATGATGATACAATACAGTTAGTGCATTACCATTTCTCTAGTTGGTATTATGTTACCTAACCATTTGTGAAGGAAAAAATAATCTTTATATAATGAACATACGTACTAGTAAAATTACTCCTAAAATATTCTATCTAAGCAATGAGATAAACCTTGGTGTGATTATAAATTTAGCATAAACATACTATAAACATGTTACACAAAAGGATATGTGATATGTGATTAATGTTGACCAAATTTTTAAGTCTAAAAATTTAAGACCAATTTTCAGTCTTAAGTAATTATGTGGAATCGGTGCCAAAGTTTTTCAAGCTGATCCCTGGTGTATATCCAAGGAAAAAGGGTTTCAGGTTACCAAGTATTGTATTCTCAAAGACAGTTGAAGATAATAGTGGCATTTTGTTGACCAAATATGACTAGTGTCTTCTTGATGATATCTGTCAGTAAACCCAGAGACTGTTGTGACATCAATGGAGTCATAATCACTTTCTATGATCAAAGAGAAGCTATTAGATTACCTGGACAGGTATGCCACTCCCTCAGTATTATGTCACACCTGTACTTTACCTGTGTGCATTGTTATCCAGTGACAGGGCATCTATACTATATACCCCCCTAGGCCAGGTGTATGGATGCAGCAAAGTAGCAATTAGTAATTCACTGTTTGGGCTGTTAACATTTAAGATAATGCCCAGAGGTTGTGTTTGTGTACTTGTAAACCTCTGGCACAGTTATTTGTTGACCAATTATGTTCAGTGATGTAAGTGAGTTTTTGAATCTAAATTGAACACAGTGATAGAAGCCATTGAATTGTGATCTCTTCTGGGGAATGTGTGGACTAAGAGACATGATGTATAGTATTTAAGTCTTGGGTGACTCTGGTAGCAACGAGGTTTAGAGCAAGGCTGGGTGCTGGAAACACTGGCAAGACCAAGTTATACTTCAGATATTGGCTAATTTGATATGTTTAAAAAATAATCTGTTTGAGTCACCTAAGATGGTAAGTCACTTGGTAATGAACAACAACATTAAGTGTTTTGTCATGGTTCAAGATGTAGTCAAGTTTTTGGATTGGATTGGATTTTGGTTTAGAAGTTAAGTGTATGCAGTCTTTATTTGGTGTAGGTAGATAAGAAAATTTTGAAATTAGGTGCAGGTAAGAATAAGAAATATGCATGGGATATGTTTCCTAGAATATGTTGAAAAAAAAAAAAGCATCAGTTTGAATATATGCTAGACTGTTGGAATGATGTAATCTATTATCTCTCGCCTCCATTAGAATTCAGTAAATAAAGGAAGCATGCAGTCGGTGATTTGATTTGGTGAAAAAAAAGGTGGGAACAAGCTGCAATACAGGCTGGTTTGTTTAGAAGATTTGTTCCAATTGATTTAGAACTAGGTTAACTGAATACAGTCCCTGAACAAAGCAGAGATAAATATAACCAGAATTTCTGAGGTAAAATTCCATTCCCTGGATGGGGTTATAGGTAGAATTTGAAAATTAGGTTTGAGGAGAGACTACGAGAATGGAAGGCAAACTCGGAATAAAGATACCACGGAGTTTGCACTGTTTTTGAGTAGGTTATTTAGAAGTACATGTTACTTGTGTCATAATATTTAAACGACTGGGCTTTTGAAAGTGAGAAAGCACCCTTCTAGTCTGTTAACTACACATGTTTGTATAAGAAGATTGGGCAATTGAATTCACCCCTGTTCTTTTGTTTTTCTTTCAGGCGATTAAACATTCTGAACAAATGTGCCAGTATGAAGATTGAAACACCACCTCGGCAGACGGTAAGTTCAGTGCGAGATGAAATTTTATCTCTCTGTCAAGTGATTTAGGCGTCTGATGAAATTAGAAGCTTGAGTATTTGTTTCTCTTTTTCTCTCAGATTTGACAATGTGAGGTTTGGGTTATATAAGAGTTCTAGCACAAAAATAACTTTATTTCAACTGTTTGGATGGCAACAGGGAGATTCTGAGCAGTATCAGGTTGACGTTCTAAACTTGGTGACCTGTCACTGTTCTGAGACCTCAAAGAAAAGAAGAATTGTAGCATTATCATATTCAAAAGTGATAAGGAAAAATAGATTTGGGTTGACTTGGTTTGAAGGTTTGAAGTCAGTATAACATAAGTTACTGGGACATGCCAAAATAGATTTTATCAGCTGTTATGAAGCCGTTTTAGGGCTTCTTTAGTGTCAGAGTAATGCTTAAAAATAGGCCCCTCCAGGCACAAAACTAGACCTTATAACTAGATCTTTTTTAGAATGCAGAAAATTTTAAAAGATTGTTCCTTTTTTATAATGATAATGTATTTCCCCTAAAAAAAATAGTATTGAATGGGGTCAGATTCTACTAAGTCAACATTTTGCAAGACTGAGCCTATTTTGGAAATTCACAGTTTATGGTAGTGTGATAGACAGTCAGATAACTGATATAATTGATAGTCAGGTAGACATTCCAATGGGTCAATTAGTGGTCAGCAGTGACCAAATTGCACCCTTTGGTTGTCTACCTTGACCTGTGTTCAGTGACCATCTGAAATGTGTACAGTTAGTAACTCTTGCCTTTGCTTATGACTGTGGGTTGTATATAATGCACTTTCTGTCTGGGCAGAGAGTTAACCTTGTTAAATTTTTACTCTTCCACCCACTCCACCTCTACCCTCACACCCCATATTCCCACCTACAAGAAAATTCACAGGGAAATAGGACAAACTTTCAATGCACTGTCAAGAATTCAAAACTCTCAGTTGGCACTTGGCTGACCAGTGTTTTTTATTAGTGTCCATCACAAACACATTTTCTTTGACCAGTAGGACAGTCCTTGGCCCCATTCAGAACAGTGGACTAACTAGTCCAAGTGTCAAATATGGCAACCCACTAAAAAGCTTGCCGTGTAATCCACTAATAGACCCAAAATAGATTCCCCATGTGGAAGTATTCAAGTGGGTCAGCCATATTTGATCCTTGGTCTAGTTAGTCCTCTGTTCTGAATACAGCCTCATTTTCCCCCTGGATGTGACCAGTAGTGGCTGAGAGGTACAAACCATGGCCACTGACCACACACACATTATCCATTTGACTTCTCTGTATGTCTGACCTACAATTAACACGTGTCTAAATACCAGTCTGCTGATATAACCCCAAGCAGTGTAAGTGAACAGATCAGGTAATTATTTTCACTAGTTTTCCTTGGTACCTGATTTTAGATTGAGGTCACCGTTATAGATGTGAAGGACAAGTATTCGATCATGGATCATCTTAGGAGTGTGGTGTACAG